TGATAGGAGCTAAAACAGCGATTGTTTAAAACAGTCACTGCATCAGCATGATTATCCAACCAGTTGAAACCAATTAAAAAATTTTAGATAGAATTCACTGGCATTATTAGAGATGGTGTTGAGATTGCTTGAATCAAATATCAGTAAAAATAGATCATAACATTATATTTCCTGCCAGACACTGTCTTCAAAGTGGATCACCCCTGTCATCCTTGCTATGGTTGGGAGCTTAATATATATATAGCGCTGTTCCTGCACTGCTAGGAGACAGATTCCGAAGGTCGAGAGTTTAACCCCGATTGGTGAATAAACATGTTATTATCATAGAATACACAACAACAGTATCCAAATTAATCCCTGCTGAGATTCTGCTAGGCTAGATATTTGGACTGACGGCGTCAGTCCAAATATCTAGCCTAGCAGGATCTCAGCAGGGATTATATCCAAATATTTTAGAATTATCTGATTTGATATGAAAGAAAAACAAAAAGAATCTAAATGGTAAATAATTTGAAATGGTATTTGATACAATGGTTCTTCATAATCAGACTAGATAAAATCCCATAGTTTCTCAATGATTCACCTTAGTTTTTGAGGGTAAAGATGTGGTTTGGATGTGTATTCCTGAAATTTACTTTATTTTTACTTGTTTCTTTTTATGGTAATAAAATATAACTATAATTAACACCCTTAGTTTATTTTATAAGAATTAATTGTAGGGATAGCCTCAACGTGTTCAAACAGCACATACTATTATGTTATCAATAGATAAACGGATAAATGTTGGACAAGTAGACACTGTAAATGTAACCCGAACTTCCTCGAAGTGTGAATCTATAAGAAGAACAATAGAGAAAGTGACAACTTAATGAAACAAACAATAACTTGAAAATATAATACACACTTTCTAAAAGGTCATCAAGCTCTTTGTCAACTTCAGATTCTGCTATTTTTGACTTTTCGTCTTCGTTTTGTTTACTTTCAGACATGTTTACGCCTTTTTCACATTTAGTTAAGTTGTCCTTTAATTTATTCGAAACTCTGAAACAGGGTTTGACGGCTCGACATAACAAATAGTCTTTTCAACATCTTAAAAGAACAGTTTTTTTTTTCCAAGATGACCAAGGAACCCTTCTTCACCTTATAAAAAATCCATACCCTCTGATACTAAAACAGAACAGGTATGGATTTTTATATAAGGCTAGTTTTAGCTTAAAATTTGAATTTTTTAGTAACAATACTTTGTGAATATGTCATAGAAAAATATTTTAATAAAAAAAAAAGTCAAAGAACCCTTGGTGTACGGAACACGGAAAGGGGGATCCCGTCCCCAAGCACCTGTGAGAAGGGTAAGAAACTTATGTGCATGGTCAAAGTGGTCTCACTGAGGAAAACAGAGAACTTATGAAACAACAAAACCTGATATTATGTTTTTGTAAGTTCTCGGGGGGGGGGGGGGGGTGTGTCTTCTACTATGCCGTAATCGCATGTGATAAATTATATTAATCGTACTCAGCATGCTCAGTGGCAGTTTTGGGAATCTTGAAAAAAGGAGGACATACCAGTGTCGTTGGGTCGGGTAGGGCCCACAGCCACACCAAAGTACGTATTAAATCATATGTACATGTCCGTGCCTGTGATACAGAGAATGATCGACCCTTCATCATCCAACTTGGACATAATAGCCACATTTTTTAAAATAACATTTTAACTTGGACCTAGTTGGCACACGTTTCGGAGTTTATCTGTAAATTTATTCTTACGTGTAGATATCGCATAAAGTAAATATATATATATATATATGCAGTTATCGTTACTCACATGTGTACTTGAAATATTAAAGGGGGAAAAATCATTTTTCCGCATATTTATTCTCTTTTAAGGATACGCAACAAATGATATTGTTTAAACAGCTTCTTTAAGATGCTCTGCGCAAAGTTGAAAACAAAGAAACTACAGAAAGAATTCAATTTACTTATTAAACAGTAATGTTTTGACAATATGTTGTATACTGTTTTAAATAAAGTCCATTTCCCCTCTTCAGAATGGAGTGTGAACATCTTGCTCTCTACTTCCCCAATGGTTCTCTACTGGGGAGACAGATGTCGGGTGTCGACGCCGACATCTTTCTCCCCAGAAGAGAACCATTGTGGGAGTACGGCGTCCAGACTGACTTCTGGCTGAATTTACTACTCCTGACAAATCTGCCCATCCTGAATCTCCATCAACTTTAAAGGGGCGATTTTACATCGTAACACGACGTTCACTCATCCCTAGTAGGTCTACCGAAATTCATGCTGGACATATTTGTCATGAGTAGTAAATTCAATGAAATGAGAGACTTTCGCGCTTCATTTTACTGTGCATGCATTTTCTTTTTATGCGTATATTAAACACATATTTTATTACACAGAACAATTCGTTTAGATTGTGTATAGATTACACTTTTATCAGATTCTTTGATCCGCTTTGTCTGCTGGAACCATTGTATATTGTTCATCTTTTATTTGTACTTTCATATGATAGATAACATTAGTATTCCTCTATATTACAATATAATTCAATATTATTTAACTCTAATTATACTGAAATAATTTGTACTTTCATAATATGATAGATAACATTAGATTCCTTCAAATTACAATATAATTTAATATTGTTCAAATCTAATTATACTGAAATAACTCACATGTAAAACTTTGATCACTCATTGTGGTCCTATACACTACCCCCCCCCCCCCCAACGAGGGTCATGATTTAAACTTCATAAATAAAAACATCCCCTATACTGTAAGTTATTATTATATTATTATAGTATAGGGGATATCTTTATTCATGAATAGAAAGTTTAAAAACGTCAAAAGCCTTTGTACCGGAGGATGCTTCCATATCAACTATGATCAATCATAGCTTTCGATTTCTCAATCTCACATGTAGAGTTGTCGTTCTTTCCTCTCTCAGACATGAGTCGATGGTGAGAGTGCGAAGGGGAGCGCACCCGGCGCCCCCCCCCCCCTCCCCCAAAATTGTCAAAGTTAGCATAAAACATAATTTTGTCGAGAAAATGTTTAAAATGTCTACTCGGTAGACCTAATTTTTACCGTACAAAACCTCTAGAATCCATGAGTTGCCCTGGACCCACTGGGGGGCCTCAAAGCGGCCCCAAGACCCCCTGCCTAAATCTTGCGCCCCCTAACTTCAATTCATGGGTCCGCCCCTGATTTCTATATGGAAAATTTTGATCGTCAATTTTGTCCCTATCCTACCCCGGAGCTCATGATTTGAACAAACTTGAATTTACACAACTTAAGCAGTGTTAAGTTAAGGATGCTTCTATGTCTATGATCAATCATGGCTAAAATGCTGTTCCTGTTTTTTCCCAACATATTCCTTTGTAAAACGTTGAAGGCCATTGTGGCGCCACCGTACCCCCGGGGTCATTTTTATTTTATTTATATTTTTTGTACAAACTTGAATCCACATAACCTGAGGATGACTCCATGTGAGTTTCATCTTTTCTGGCCCAGTGTTTCTTGAGAAGAGGATTTTTAAAGATTTTTCCTATGTATAACTTTGATCGTCCATTGTAGCCCCACCCTACCCCTGGGGTCATGATTTAAAAAAATTGAACCTACACTAAATGTACGTGAGGGTGCTTCCACATTACATTTTTCCTGGCCCAGTGGTTTTTGAGAAGATTTTTCAGTTTAAAAACGCCATTAATTTTTCACTAATTCATAGCTATCACCCCTCGGAAGAGGGCGTGGCCCTTCATTTGAATCCTCTTCACGGTCACCTAAGTATTTTTTTTTTTGGCAAGTTTGGTTGAAATTGTCCAGTGGACCTAGAGATTTGTGGTATATAGGGGATATGGAAATGTAAAAACTTGAAGCCTTCAGCTGAGGTGAGCTAAGAACTGAGATTCAAATAGCGTAAAATGTGTTGCACACTATAAATATTTGTAAAGAGTATGGATTTTTTAAAAATTTATTTAATAAAATACTACTTTCTCCACCCTAAATATTTCCATTAAACGACAGCTTCAGTGGTTTTTCTCGGGTCTTTAAGACATATGCTTCTTAATTTTCCGATTGTGCAAGGGTGTGTGTGTGTGTGTGTGTGTGTGTGTTATGCGCGGATCTAGAGGGGGGGGCAGGAACCCCCACCCCCTGGAATTTGCAGATATACTAAACCAAGTAAAAGGAACCCTTGGATCCCTCTTAGAAAACGCGGACCCCTCCTCGAGAACACATACCTATGTAAAATTCAGGTCTGAAAAGTTCTGGTATGGAATTTTAAAAGTCAATCCCCCACACACACACACACCCCACACACACACACAGACACAATAAGTTAAATTATATGTTTGGGAAAGAATTAAAGTGTTGTTTTTTTTAGCTTTCTTGTCAAGAAATTTTTGGGTTGGAGATTTTGTTTTACTTGTATGCCCCCCCCCCCCCCTGGAAAAAAAACCTGGATCCGCGCCTGTGTGTTTTTACCTAGTGTTGTCATTCCTTTTCCCTAAGAAATCACAGGAAATCCTACTATCTGTCTACATCTTTGACATATTACAGCGTAAATAAATCATTGGGTGCCCGGTTTGCTATCGACGAACATTTTTTATGGAATCTTGGGGTATGATATAGAACATACCTCATTATTACATAATGCGGTATGATATAGAACATACCTCATTATTACATAATGCGGTCACGACCCACTCGGAGTTCCTCGGATGACTCGTACCTCGCACTAGTCTCGCTCAACCAGACGCTCGGCTGTCTCCGTAAACTCCGACAAGCAAACACCTCTGGGTGGTCGGAGATTTACGGAGACAGCCGAGGGTCTGGTTGAACGAGACTAACTCGTACCTCGCACATAACTTTGAATGGAGCGTAGCGGAGTCAGCCGAGGATTGCCGATTGGTCACGACCAAGGTGCCTGATCATAGTAAACTGGTTCCCAGACGTTTAACCAATCAGAGTCGAGTATTGGCTTACGAAAAGGGTCAAGTAGTAAACACTACGAGTCACTCCCCCAGGCATGGGCTATCATCGTGTCCACAAAGCGGAGCAATGGTGCAAAATATTTTGACAGATATCTACAGATTTAACTGGACGCAGTTGCATATTTTGCACTGTTATGCCAAGTGATTTGGATTCGTGCGGCTCTTTGATTTTACACATCGTGTGATCAGCTGATTTTAAACATAATGGCAGATTATTTAAGTGATGCTTCAGACAGTGAATTAAACAGCCGGAATTCGGAGGATGCCAGCTACAGTAACCTCTCTACTATTCCGGATAACCTGATCCCCCGTGCCAAAGAGATCCTCTCCCTGAAACTGAACCACAATGAGATTTTACTGCTCCCACCCTCCATATCTTTGTTTGTGAACTTGCTCTCTCTTGATCTCAGTAATAATCATCTAACTCATATACCTAAAGAGTTAATCAGTCTCAAGTGCTTAAGGACACTTCTAGTCAAAAGCAATGGATTATCATGTGCCTCTATTCCTAAGGACTTTGGACTGCTGTCATCATTGGAGCTTCTGAACTTCAGTGGAAATTCTCTGGAAACGTTCCCACCTCAGTTTACAGAACTTCCAAATCTACGGTATCTGTACCTGGGTGGGAATTGTATAGCAGAAATGCCAAACTCTATCAAAAACTTACAAAGGTACAAAGTACAGTTTTGTTTTTGTGACTTTTCTCATATGATTGATTGCCTGAGGCAGTGTGCTGATGACAACTGTCAAACTCAAAAACAAATTTCACCTTTTGTTACACCAAGAAATGATAAAGTGCTTCCAAAAGCAATGAATCATTAGGCCTAGTGTATAAAAATATATGATGCTTTTAATTTCGAATATTTTGTCCCATTAAAGAATGATATAATTTTTTATAAATGTAATGATATTTATTTTTATATTATTCAGAGAAACTCGGTTATAACGAAGTCACTGGGACCTATAAAATTAATTCGCTATACCCGTAATTTGTATATCCCTGTAAAGAATTTGTTAAAATATACAGAAGCTGGGGATCCTAGATAACTTTGCTATATCCATGAATTCGCAATACTTTCATCTGAAATTGGAATATATATTGCTTTAAAATTTACTGCTTTTTAACCATTTTTCCAACATAAAAAAAACTCATTTACATGCATATGCAAGTTTAACAATTTTCTTGTTTTTTTTTTTTTCAGGCTAGAGGTATTGTACCTCGGTGGAAATCGTCTAACGGAGGTCCCGGCAGAAATAGGACAGCTCTATTACCTCTCATGTTTAATTCTGTGTGATAATCAAATTCAGAGCATTCCACCAACACTGATCCACCTCCGAAATTTACAATCACTAAGTCTGCACAACAACCAGATCTCAACCCTCCCTCCTGAGATTGTGAGACTCAACCTTTCAGAACTCAGTCTCAGGAATAACCCCCTTGTGAACAAATTTGTACAAGACATGACTTACGAACCCCCCACTCTACTGGAACTATCAGGGAGAGTGATCAAAATAGAAAAAGTCAAGTACGCCAAAGACGATCTCCCTAGCAACCTAAGGAAATATCTTGGGTCAGCCCAGAGGTGTGTGAACCCCAAATGCAAAGGTAAATAATGGTTAGAGATTAAAACCTAGCAGATGTGAATGTACACATATTTAGTCACTGAAGGTTGATTCCTTTTTTTTTTACAGGTGTGTATTTTACATCCCGGATTGAACATGTGAAGTTTGTAGACTTTTGTGGGAAATACCGCCTCCCCCTGTTACAGTACCTGTGTTCCCCCCAATGTAGAACATCACCGGCCGTGTATCACAGCAGCAGTGACACGGAAACAGACGAGGAGGAAGTGGCCAATGCAAAACTACGCCGTGTGCTGCTAGGGTAGCCGCAAAAATATGTCACATGCTGCAGGGGTAGTCACAAAAGTACACTGCGTACTGCTGGGGTAGCCGCGAAACTATGCCGCATACTACTGGGATAGCCGTAAAACTATGCCGTGTACTGCTGGGGTAGCCACAAAACTACGCAGCGTACTGCTGGGGTAGCCACAAAACTACGCCGCATGCTGCTAGAGTACCCATCTACTATGTGACAAAGCCCCCCGCACAAATGGCAGAATAGATTTTTCTTCAATGCAATCAGTCACATTCATAGAATTATGGAAATGTTTGTGATTGTGGGTTGAAATGTATTTTAATATTTTCAAATGTAAAATTTTAACATATTACGGGTATTTGTATTTTATTTTTAAGTAATTAGTTAAGTATAGTCTGTGAAAAGTATATTTCTGTTGAATCTGTCTCCTCTGTGTTTAATATCCAATAATACTGCTATATTACTGTTTAATTTAACAGTTATCTTCAAATGAAAATTATTGACACTTATAGCTTATTTTGGAATTGTTTTACTTTGTTTTTTCTGCTCCTATTTTGTATGCTAGAATACTTTCATTATCTCCATATTTTTCACTTGAGAAAATTTGCAAAATAGTTGAAGTGCAACCATTACTTAGTGCATCAGTATTTAGATTTATTTTTTTGTTTAATTTAGTTGAATATAAACATTTTTATTTTTAAATACAAGTCACTAATGAGCATATATCTAATTTTAAGTTGGGCATTGGTTTCACGAAAAACAGGTCACTAGGAGATGAAATGTCATTACAGGCATACTGAAATATTTACTTCAGTGTCACAATTTTGTTCTTTCACGCATCTTGGAATACACAATTTTAAAATAAAAAAAATATAAAATTTGGGGAGAGTATACTTTGAATTCTACTGAGGCATTCATACTTTATTGACACTAAAGGTATGATTGTGTGAAAATGGGCTATTTACTTAGCAATCCGATGAACTTATAATTTTACGTATATTATTTATTTAAAATTGAAACTATGTACATGTACATTATACTTCCAGAAGAAGTCTGTTTTCTAAAAAGGTGCTTTGAAATTTAAATGAATAAATTATTCAATTTAAACTGTATGGGCTTGAGTTTTAGATTTAGTTATAAAAGTTCATTTTAAATATACATTGTCACAGTTGTGCTTCAAGTAGTATGAACACGAGTTTGGCAAAAATATTTTTTGACATTAACCTGGGATTAGTTCTAAAACTGTTAGATAGCTTTGAAAATCTCAGTAACTTATTTGTTAAGATCAAATAATATATTTAAAATATAATGTCTTCTTTTTTTGGTCACTTGAAATCACAATTTACTTAAGGTAAAGATTAATATAGATTGCAAAAGTACCTTTTGATCTTATCCCCAAGTTATTTTGTCATACAGGCAGCTGAACTGACCTAACTTGTACATTTAACCTCTATCCAAGCATCATGCCTGGGGCCATTTTTCCTTACTTCAGTTTAAATAATGCAATAGTCTTGTTTCTATTAAAACTAAGTTGGCACATAAAAGTAGAAGCGTACTTGGTTCATCACAGATTGATATGGTAGGAGAGCAACTCATTTAATGAATGAAACACTATTATACACAACGTAAATAAAAATTTACTTCGTAACCATTTACCTCACTTTGTGAGTATATACATGTATTCCTTAAAAATTTCACAAAATAAAATCCCTTTTAAATTACCAAGCAGTTTGAATTAATGAAATTGTTTCAATTATATTTTCATCTATAATTTTTTCTTTACACAATTTCTATGATTTTTATGCGCCCGGATCGATAGATCAGAGGCGCATATTGTTTTTGTCCCGACTGTCTGTAAACTTAAACCATCGCCATAACTTTTGAATCATGAGAGATGGAGACTTTATATTTAGTATGCATACTCAACAAATTAAGCTCTTTTAAATGATATCAAGGTCAATGACCTTGTGACCTTGACTGTGACATAAATGCAAAAAATAGCTTTTTCGATCCTGTGCCATAACTTTTGAACCATAGAGATAAAGACTTCATTTTTCGTATGCACACTCCACTAATTAAGCTCCTTCATATGACACCGAAGTCAATTACTTAGTGACCTTGACTGTGACCTATTTGCTAAAAATAGCCTTTTTGAAACTTCTCAATAATATTTGAACCATAGGAGATAGAGACTTCATATTTAGTGTGCATGCTCCACTAATTAAGTTCTTTCAAATAACACCAAGGTCAATGACCTTGTGACCTTGACTGTAACCTATATGCTAAAAATAGCTTTTTCAAACTTTGTTGCCGCCGGGTACATATCACAAACACATCTTGTTTTTTTTTAAGTTATAAACCCTTTTTTAAAAAGCATGTGGTCAACTTTGAATACAGTAAAACTGTTTAGTACCAACACGAATATTGCAAATTCACGGATATAGCAAAGTTATATTGGATCCCCAACTATATTATTTTAAAGAATTCTTTATATGGATATAATGAATTACAGATATAGCGAAGTAATTTTATAAGGCCAAGTGACTTCCTTATAACCAAGTTTTACTGTATTTAACATGAAATATAAATATTCTCACTTGACCTTCTGACTTTGGTGAACTAGATACAGGATAACAATTCTCATAAGAAGTGTAGTGTCCGGCACAACAAGAATAGATAAGGGTAACATCATGTGCTGTCCTGGTTTTATTACTGATGCATGACATGAATTTATTTACATGATATGACACCTGTTTATGTACAAATGTGTTGCATTTAGCTATGCCATGAATAGTTTATCATTATCTCATGATCTAAAAAAAATTCTTCATAAATGGTAAAGCATGTACATGGACATTTTTGGATTGCTTTATAAAAAGAATTCTGATGGATTGAATTTCTACCTTTTTTAAGGCAAACACCATTACTGCCATAAAGTTATGACCTTTTATTGCACTTTGACTTTACCACCGTCCTGTTAGAAAATGTTTCAGCCTGCCTAAAGTCAAACTTGCTTTAAGTTGGTGACTTTCACATTAAAGCTCCTCCTACTCTTCTGACATGACCTGTCAATCATCCTCCATATCGCTGCCCTTATTGGATCCCTCGCTCTGAGCGCCACTCCCCTCTTGAGATGCCCCACCCCCTTCTTCTTCACTGTCACTCTCCACAATCCTTGCTTTCTTTTTCTTAGGACCTTTCTCTTCCTCCGAATCCTTCAACAAATTATCAAAACAGCATTACATTCAAGCAATGTAAGGCCAGCTTTTCTTAATATAATCTAATTTTTAAAAAAACATTGCAAAGACAAAGTTTAAATAAATTAAACTTTTTCAAGGGATCATACAATTATCTCAAATACCATGGACATCTCCAAGTTATTTGGATTGAATTCTCAACCACCCT